CATACGATTTTGTTTGTCCAGTACACTTGTCCAAAACTTCGAATTCTTCCTGATCGATTAGTTTATCGTGATCAAATTTAAAACGTTTTATAAGCAGTTGTATCTTTAGGTTTAAAAATATACGTTTTAATTGTAAGAATATAAGCTAATTAAAAATACAAAAAAAAAATTTTACGAACTGTTTCAAAGTGAAAAAAAAAAATACTATAACAAGAGATATTAATAAGAGCAGCTGTAATCATTTGAATATGCTTGGTACTTGATTGCAGAAGAAATTCGGTTGTTACAAGTTGGTAAAGCTAGAAAAGAACCGATTACTGGCAAAAGTGTTAAATAACTAAAATTAAATCAATTTAAATATAAAATACATTTAGAATTAAAGAATCTAACTTTGGCTCTTTTTTGTAAAACATTACTCAATAGAAGTTCTAGTTTATATTAATAAAATTAATAATATTAAGAAAAAAAATAATATAAACGATAACATAGTGAATCTTTATCCTACAAGATATAAATAAATATACACAAATGTATATCCTTATTACCAATAGTACTATTATTGGTAATAAAAAGACCAGTATAGCAGAAAATAGCAACAACTGATCCCTTGATTTTCGATTAGGACGTTGATTCGTTAAAAACTGAAATAAACGACTTGAAAAAAGAAAATGATGTTTCGCGAGATGTCGATTTTTCAGGGTCATGGTATAGTATCTCTAGAGATCTATCAGTCAACTGAACAATATACTACCTCCACCTTGTCCCCAACTTATTTAAATTGCTATCTATTGGAAATAGTGTAAATTTGTATAAATCAATGTAATGATTGAAGTACTATAAATTAATCAATAAAATTACGAGTAAAGATTTCCTGTATTCTTATTGTAATTTTATGTAAAATATTTTCTATTGAGATATACTTGTGTTTATGTATTGATACAGATGGTTGTTCCCATAATTAAACGAGGGGAAAAAATACTTTTTACTTCCAATATTTGAGGACATGCGCAGAAGGGTTGTTTGGTTTCAATCTTGATCAGTTGCACTTCGACAGTGGTGCAGGACACTTGCTTTAAAAGAAGAAAATTATTTTTTATGACAGTTATATATATATAGTATAAAATACCAGTCTTTTAGGAAAATTGATTCCTTCGACTTTTTTGGATCTCTAAACGATACATCTGAGACGTTGTTGTTATGAATATCATAACAAGAAATTTATATATCAAATCTCACTTTAAAGAAAATTCTTATTAGAAAGATTAATAAAAATATGAACTTGTTAATATCTCAAACAAAATACTAATCAACACATTAATTCACATGGATTTTCCATTGTTTTTTTAATATAGGTAAGTATTTCTAACATAAATAATCATACGTTATTTTTATTTAGAATTTTCGTAACAAATTTGTGCTTATTTTTTTTCCCAAAGCATTGAATTATGGTACACTCTTATATACCATTGCAAAAGACAGTGCTTTTCGCATCATCTAAAAGCAAATAATTAATCCGTATAAAGATTACTTTTTATCAATAATATTTTAAGGAGCTTACCCCAGCAAAAATCTCGTGCGATAAGGAAAACATACTTCCAATTGAAAGAAAGCTCAGCTTTCCACTTCTACCTATTATAAATAATAGCAATTTCTGTGTACTTATAGATAACGTATAAAACGGAACGTCACACCTATAAACAAATATTCTTTTTTCATTCTTAAACAAGCTTGGTCTTTTAAACGATAGAACAAAAAGTAATTGGAAAAAAATATTTAAAAGTTCTATAAAGAAAATTATTTTCCTTGCTATTATACAGTTCAAAAAATAATTATTCAAATATTACTAATTAAAAAAATGTATTATGTCCTTACAGTTCTTCAAGAATTGCGTTGCTATGATTCAACAATCTTTGTCCAAGATAACAATTTAAATACACCGTGAATATTGAACCAGTTACATAAAGGATGCATTCTATTTTGTCCTTTAAAGTTTTTATTAATACCGAAAATTGAAGAATCTAAAAAAAAAAAAAAAAAAAAGTATAATTTCATAGTAAAAAGCCAGTATTCGATATTTTTAAACGTACATCAAACACAATACATATGATTCTATAATAACATCTTTTTTTTTAAACAAGATCTTACTACTTTAAGATGCAAAAATTGTGCCAGCAAATATTTTTAAAAATGTGTCTTTACAAACAGATACAACAGCACAAGTAATAAAACATAACAATGTCTACGTAAACGATTTAATCTAAAAATCATTGTTTTTACAGCTCAAAGCGTTGATAGTAAAACACGAAACGAACACATCGTATAATTAACAATAATTTCTTAATATTCCATTGAAATAATAACAAACATTTTTCATTCGAATAAAAATCAAACAAGATATTGATAAAATAAACCCTCGCTTCTATTTCTAGCGTATTTGACTTACATATAAAAAGTTAATCATGAAAACAATTAATCCGAGAAGAATTACAATCATGTAAACAATATTCGAAACGTATCTAAGCATCTCAACGTATCTTAAAAATAAAAGAATTATTAAATTTTAACAAAATATAATGAAGAATTAGAAGATTTATTTTTCACTTACTCAATAGATATTCTATGACGATTTACAATATCACTTATCCAATTATATTCTTCCGTTAGTGTATCGAAATATTTAGTAATTTTCCCGATTTGCTGATTTCTTTCAAATGGTTGACGAATTTTTAATCTGTGTTTAAGAAAGAACACTATAACTTAAAATTTGTGTGCATAATTAATACGCGAATAAATAACAATTGACTCTATTAAATGAAACGTACTTTATAATACTACATTGACAGCAAGCGTGCTGTATACAAACCAGAAATGTTGAAACACTAATACTGCCAACTATTGTTACCATTAATACCCCTATTGTTTGGTAAAGAAGCATGATAAAATAAAGCATCCCAACGTGACCAATATTATTTTCAATTAAAGGTAATGTTAATTGGTTATCCTTCAATTTGCCAGTAGAATATAAAAAAGCATTAAAAATTGATGGAGATATGATTAATAAGCAGTTAATATCAAAAAAAACTGTAAAAGTTACAAAAAAAAAATATATATATATATATATATATTGTAAAAATATATATAATACTTAAAATTATCTGCCAAGAATTACAACTCATACTTGCCCATTAAACTGTAGACATAAAATTTGCTTTGAACAGTATACTTTTCTAAAACGTTCAGTTCATCATGATCGAAAATTTTCTCGTGATCAAGTTTAAAACGAACAATAAGTAATCGAATCTTTAAATTAAAAAGACATTTTTATATATATAATATTCTTCAATTACAGCAAAGAAATATAATTATAAAATAAAAGTCTCTACTAACTGTTACGAAGCGATAATAACTAATAAAATAAGCAGAAACGAAAATGAGACCGGATATTGCTCTTTGAATCAGTTTAATACTTGATTGCCCGATCAATTTAGTTGTGAAAAATTCATACAGCTGCATGAATAAACAATTTATAAATTATTTTTAGGATCATGCAACCACATATATCGCAACAATATTATAATTAAAAACGCTAATAAAAGAAACATTTATATTTATTTTCAATGTAATAAGTAAAAATAAAATGATATTAAGATAACACGGTCACTGATTTTATTTGAATATTATTAAAATAATGGTTGCTTATATATGATAATGAAAATAACGATTACTATTTGAAAAAAAAATGGTAACGTGTAGATAAATACAACGAAACATAAAAACAACTGATCCCTAGAGTTTCGATTAGGACGTTGATTCATCAAAAACTGAAATAAAGTGTTTGAAAAAAGAAAATGATGTTTCGCGAGATCTCGATGTTTTGAAGTCATGGTAAAGTATCTCACGAAATCCCACATCTAACTGTATGAAATATTATCATTTATTTGTCCCCAACCAATTCGAATTGTTATCTATTACAAATAATGTAAATTTGTGTAAATCAGTGTAATGATCGAAGTACTGTAAATAATTAAATAAAATTACCAGTAAAGACTTCCTCCTATTTTATAGCTATTCTATGTAAAATATTTTCTATTGAGACATACTTGCGTGCATGTATTGAAACAAATGGTGTTTCCCATAATTAAACGAGAGAAAAAAATACCATTTACTTTCAATATCTAAGGACATGCGCAGAAGGGTTGTTTTATTGGAATCTTGGTCAGTTGCACTTCGACAGTGGTGCTGGACACTAGCTTTAAAACAAGAAAACTATTTACTATGACAGTTAGTATTGTATACTTGACTTTTACGAAAAAATATGCCTACTAATGTTTCATAGTTTCGTGATGATTTTTATTAGGAATACAATAACAAGAAATGTATATATCAAGTCTCACCTTGATGAAAATTTTGATTAGAAAAATTAATTAAAATATGTACTTGTTAATATCTCGAACAAGTGTACTAATCAACACATTAATATACATGGATCTTTTATTGATTTTTTATATAAGTAAGTATTTTAACCATAAATAATCATTTGTTATTTTTATTTAGAACATTGTAACATATTTTTGTTCATTTTTTTTCTAAAGCTCTGAATTATTTTACACTGTAGTATACCATTGCAAAAGAAAGTGCTTTTCGCATAAGCTAAAAAGAATTGAAATTATTTAGAAAACAGTGTTAATTGAATATCAATAATATTTTAATACTTACCGCAACAAAAACTTCGTTCGATGCGACAAACATTTTTCCAATTGAAAGAAAGCTTGACTTTCCACTTCTAGCTATTATAAATAATAGCAATTTTTGCGTATTTACTGATAGTGTATAAAATGGAACCTTACTTCTACAAACAAAAATTCTTTTTTTTATTTTTATATAAACTTATTTTTTAAACGATGCAATTAATAGTATTTTGAAGAAAATATATATACAATTCTATAAAAAGGATTTTTTTCAATATCATTAATTTACCAAAATATATTTTAATTTATTGCTTATTAAATTATACATATTACTTCCTTACAATTCTTCAAGAACTGCATTACTATGATTCAACAATCTTTGTCCAAGATAAAAATTTATATACAACGTAAATACTGAACCAGTTACATAAATGATGCATTCTATTTTGTCTTTTAAAGTTTCTAATAATACCGAGAACTCGAGTATCTGAAAGAAAAGATAAAAGTATATTTCTATAGTCAAAATTCTCTCTCTCTCTTCTATCAATTTATCATTTAAATAAAAACCAGACAAGAATTAGATAACATACAAAAATTTACTGCAATTTATAACAGTTTGACTTACACATAAAAAGTTCAACACGAGTATAATCATTACGAAAAGAATTATAATCAAATAGACAAAATCCGATATGTATCTGATCATTTTAACATACCTTAAAAATAAATGAATTCATAAAATTTTATGATAAATCTTTACTAAAAAAATTATACTTATTATTTTCCACTTACTCAAGAGATATTCTATGATAATTTACAATTTCGCTTATCCAATTATTTTCTTCCGTTTGTGTACTAAAATACCTAGTATTTTGGCCTGATTTTTGATTCCTTTCAAATGGTTGACGAATTTTTAATCTGTGTGTTTAAAAAGAACACTTTTAGTTAATATTTGAGTGCATAATCAATACGCGAAAAAATAAAAATTGATTGTATTACATGAAACGTACTTTATAATGCTACATTGACAGCAAGCGTGCTGTATGAAAATTAAAAATGTTGAAAGACCAATACTGCCAACTATTGTTATCATTAAAACCCCTATTGTTTGGTAAAGAAGCATACTATAATATAGCATCCCAGCTTTATCAATATTATTGTCAATTAAAGGTAATGTTAATTGATTATCCTCCAATTTACCAATAGAATACAGAAATACATTGAAAATTGATGGAAATATTATTAAAAAGCTGCTAATATCAAAGAAAACTGTAAAAGTTAAAGAAATTATATATTGGGAAAATTATGAACTTACAAATATTTGATAACAATTACTCATACTTACATATTAAAGCATAGACATAGAATCTGCTTTGGTTAATATACTTTTTCAAAATATTTAATTCTTCCTGATTGCTAAATTGTTCATAATCAAGTTTAAAACGATTTATGAGAAATCGGATCTAAATATAAGAAAATTATATATTTAGATATAAAATATATCTTTCATTTTTTTTTTTAATGAACTAACGTAATTTCAAAATAAATTTCTACGAACCGTTAAAAAATAAAAATAACTATTTAAGTAAGTAGTGAAAAAAATAAAACCTGTTACAAATTTTGGAATAATCTTGACAATAAATTGCAGGGAAATGTCTTCCGTTAGAAGCTCATAAACCTAAATAAGTAAATCATTACTTTTACAAGTGTTATTTTATCTATCATTAAATATTTTAATATTTTATGGTTTTTTAAGATAATTCATATTTTTAATATAATTAATACGTATCACGATTGTAATATAATAAAAGTACCAGCCAATAAAAATGTGAACTTTATATTCGGTTAATACTTCATATAAAAATACATATTAATAAGTAAATTAATAATAATTAAAAGATAACATAAAAAATAATGGTCCGCAAAGAAATAATTACCAGTATCACATTTAATGGTCCTACAAAAATAGTTATTGCCAAAATTAGAAACAATTGATCGTTTGAGTTTCGATTCGGGCGTTGATTACTTAAAAACTTAAACAAACGATTCGAAAAAAGAAATTGATGTTTTGCAAAGTCTCGATTTGTCGAAGCCATGGAAAAGTATCTCACGAGATTCTCCAACAAACTGAATAAAAATACTATCATTTACTGTTTCATTATTCATTCTAATTGCTATCTACTACAAACTGAAGTACTTCGTATAAATCACTGATGAAAATAAAGTACTGTAATAAGGAAATCAATAAAAATTACTTGGGGAAAATTGTTTATTACTTTTTATGTTTAGGGACATGCGCAAAAGTGTTTATTGATTGCAATCTTGGTCAGTCGTTCTCTAACCACGGTAAAAGACACTCTCTGAAGTATGAAAGAAATGTGTTGTTGAATTAAATCAGTAATATTAAAAAGCTACATACTTTTGAAATAAATTTTTATAGTTCTACGAAATGGATTTATTTAAAAAAATACAATCAAGAAAAAACAAATACAAAGTTCATTAATTAGTGTTAAATTATATATAATTATAGTTATGTTATATTGTGTGGTGATATATATATATAGAAATATAAAAACAACTTGTTAATACTTTTTATTGTTTAAAATAATTACTCGTAAGTAAAATGAGAAAGAAAATATTTTTTAATTTTTATTTTTATAATCATGCGCTATATTATTATAGAGCTTATTGATTGCTATCATTTTCATGTATATTAGGATCATCGTGCAAAATTTCTTTATGAAAAAAATCCGAACAAATCCATGACGTAAATAATACAATCTCTTAAATATTTTATAACAGTAAATGTGGTGCATAATAAATAGCGAATATATTTATTATCAAGTATAATAATTAATTAAAAACGAAAATAGTAGAAATAATAAATAGAAAAATATATCAACATGTGTCCCCTTCTGTGATCCTTCTTATATATTAATATTTAAAATTAAATATTATATATATTATATAATTAAAAAGAAAAAAATAATATTAAACAAACATATCAAATCAGTGTATGCAATATACAATTATTACAATACAAATCGTATTAAAATTGAGACAGGTGAATATACAATTTAATTTCATCTCAAAATCAATCAATATCTTTTCGATATACCAACGAATAATTTTTATGGTGAACGACAAAAATTCGAATTATTGAACATTATAATAAACCATTGCAAATGAAAGCGCCTTTCGCATCAACTACAATAATAAATTAATCGTTAACCGAGATATTATATTAAAAAACATCAATATATAATTTATTGTTACTTACTCCGGCAAAAACTTCGTGCGATGAGACGAACATTCCACCAATTGAAATAACACACGGTTTTTTACTCCTCGTTATTATAAATAAGAGTAACTTTTGGGTTTTAATCGACAACATATAAAACGGAATATGACACCTGTAAAAAAAAAAAAAGAAAACACATATTTCTGTATTTCATATAAAATGTGTGACTTATTTTAATTGTCAAAATATTAAACCCTTTTTTTACTAACAACAATTGTTAATAAAATTTAAAAAGACTAGAATATTTTCAATCGTGATATCGGTGAGAAACTTAATATCGATTACTAAACAATTTTTTTTAACCATTTAATAAAGACTGGATACAAAATATGAAACCAAAAAGTAATATTGGTTTTACTTGTGAGTGAAAATACAAAGAAACTCCCCCCCCCCACCCAATCCTATATATTTATATGGTATTGCAATTGTTAATAAAATGAAAAAGTATTTTCTTACAATTCCTCAAGAACTGCATTACTATAATCCAGCAATTTTTGTCCAAGATAAAAGTTGATATATATTGTAAATACAGTACCAACAACGTAGATGCTGCATTCGATTATTTCGATCACGTTTTCCGATTCTATAGATAATTGAAACATCTGTAAAATAAACTATGCTATAAATGAATGACTATTTTTTTCTTTTGATCGTTTTTAAATTATATATATATAATAATTAATTAAATTAATTAAATATATATTACAATAAAATAAATAATTTGTTCTATACGAACACGTAGAAACGACATTTTATTGAAATGACAAATAAGCAATGTTAAAAATTTATTGCAAAAATAGAAAAAGAAAAAAAAACAGAAATTAAAAAAATCTATTTAAAATATAATGCTGATAATTTTCTCTTTTCTTTCTTTTTTTTCTCAAGAAAAAATATTGAAAATATTTATAATATATTGGTGATATTTTTTTTTTAATGAATTTCAATTTTGTAGCAATATATAAATGTTACTCACGTAAACGAAATCAAAGACAACAAGGCTCATCGCCAAGAAAACTGTAATTAAGTAAGTTACCTTTGAAAAATCGTTTAGCAAATCAACATACCTTGAACAAAAAAAAATGGAAAATACACAGGAGAAATAATTATTTAGATTAATTTACGAGATTATTTCTATAAATAAATGTATAAATAACGAAAAATATAACATATATATTATTTCGAACAAACATCGTAACATTTCTATAGCGTATTATGATGTCCACTATCCAATCCCATTGATCTTTGGGTGTTTCCATGTAACAAGAAGTTTTTCCAATTGATTTGGAATTTTCTTCAAATGGTTGCTTTAATCTTAGCCTTTTAAGACAAAAAAAAAGAAAGAATAAAAACAATAACATTAACACAAATAAATTTAATAAAAAAAAAATAAATAAATAAATATATAAATTAAATGTGAATTAAAACGAACATTATTACGTTGAATTGAAAACACGCGAATTGTATTGCAGTCAAGTATGCCGAAAAACTCACGCCACCAACTGTTGAAGTAATAAAAATAGCAATGATTTGATAAATAAGTAAACAATAATATAACTGTCCTGCGTTCATGGAATAATCAGCGGATACGGGTAATATTAATTGATTATCGTCCGATATACCAAAGAAATATAAAAATACTTTGAAAATGCATGGGCATAATACTGATGTGTTATAAGCGTTGAACAAAACTGCAACAGTAAGTAAGGAAAACAAAATAAATAAATATATATATATATATATATATAATTAAAAATTATTCAAATTATCAATTATAGTTATTAAAATTAAATATAACGGGGTGCTTACTTAGAACAGCATATGTGTACAATTTAGTTTCCATGATATTCTTTTCCAAAATATTTAATTCTTCTGTATCGGACAACGATTCGCAATTATGTTGAACATAATAAATAATTAATTTCATCTAAAAATAAAATCTCAATTCCAACTTTTTGATTAACCTAATATATTTCATTTATATGTACAAATAAAACGATATATTAATATTTGTGTGTGTATGTGTGTCAAAAAGATCAAAAATACAAATAATTATACATACTGTCATAAAATTAAAAAATGTTGTACTATAGCCGCATAGCAAACACATTGACGACATTGTTTTGTGCAACAATTTGACGGTAGATTGCATTGAATAATCTGCCGTTGAAAGCTGATAAAACTAAAGTCAAAGTAAAATACTTTTATACAAATTGAATAATCTCTTATTATTCAATTCTATTCGTAATATTTTAACAAATTATTTCTATTTAAAATATATATATATTTGCAAAATTAAAAAAAAAGAAAACAAAAACTAACGAGTAGAACAGAATATTTCAATCGTGAACTGTCGAGAAAAAAAAAAGAAAAAAGAGTCTAAATAAATCATTAATGAATAATAATAAATTAAAATTATTGTATATAATAAAATGTTGAGAATTTTGTAAAGTATATAAAAAATAAATGACGGTCATTATTTGATACCAAAAGATGAATACAAAAAGTGTACAATACAAATTAAATAGAAACAGAACTCACCTGGTATACAATACCAGGAAACAGGTAAATCAAAATGATAGAGAATACAAACAAGTGATTATTTGAATTTTGATCAAGACGTATACTTAATATTAGTTGAACTAATCGATTAGAAATAAGGAAATGGTGTTTGAAGATGTTATGACCTCTCGAAGCCATTATCAACTGTCTTCAATTTTTTCCAACGAACTAACATAATCAATAATACCATCACATCCCCCTACCAACTTCATTGTAAATTCTAATTGTCAATCAATTACTAAGGGAACAAGAAATTCTATAAAACAGTGACAAGACAATATATGGGTATAAATGTTTAATCTGTAAAACCCAACGTGTACAAACGTTTTACCCCTTTTTTTATATTTCCATAATACATCATACTCTTTCCCCCTAAAAAATAAAGTTGCTTTTATGTATCGGGGAAAACAAATGTTAATTCCCAGCAATTAAAAGTGGGGAGAATTTCCCTCTCTTTCTTTATTCTTATAGACATGCGCAAAAAAGTATTTCGATTGAAACTTCGTCAATCGTACTTCAACCATCCTTGTGAACACTGACTTAACATAGAATCAAAAAATATCCATAATGTTAAACAACAAAATTACGTTTCTTTGTGATAAAGTCTACTATATCAAATGTTCTATAAAAATTGTAGTGTTAATATGATAGGTTACTGTTAATTATTTAAACAAAACAAAAACACACAATAATTAAAAAAAATGTTAACCCATAAAAGGAAGGTGGAAAAGGTACAGTATTCTTCAACATCTTAGGGGTGAAACTTTTTGACAGGAATATAGTAAAAATATCCGAAGAAAATAAGGATGATATATCTATTATAATCTAATTATTACTACATTTTTATATCACAACATAAACATTGCAAGTAATCGTGATATTTTTTAATAGTAATTCCAACTATTTTACATTCTAATAAAACAAACAGAATTTTCTATACATACATATTCTATATACAAATTTAATAGTTTACATACCACATTAAAGTTAGAATGTATTATAATAAACCATTGCAAAAGAGAATGATTTTCGCATTAACTAAAAAGATATATTCCTTGATTAAACAGATATATATATATTTATTAATAAATATTCGTTTATTGTTACTTACGGCTGCAAATGTTTCATGCGAGGATACAAACATACCACCAATCGAAAGCATGCTTGGCTTACAACTTCTTCCAATCATGAACAATAAAAATTTTTGAGTTTTATTGGAAAGAATGTAAAATGGAACTTGACACCTACAAAACAGATAAGATTACTTCTTGAACAAAAAAGTGATTATTTACGTAATAGTAAAATTAGAAAATTATTAATTTCATTGTACGATTCTATCATAAAAATTATTTGTTTGCATTTTATATAAATTAAAGGTGAATAAAAACTTCGTAATATCTTACAATTCTTCGAAAACTACATCGCTATAATTCAGCAGCTCTTGGCCAAAATAAAAATTAATATACAGTGTAAGTATAGAAGCTGTAATATA